TTGTAATGTTGGTCTGGTCATTACAAATGACTTTGATTTCTGTTTATTGAAGGACCGTTTTTCTGGGTGTATGATTCTTGGTAGGCAATCTTTTTCTTTCAGAGTTTTGTATCTGTTGTCCCATTGCCTGTAAGGTTCTGCTGAGAAAGCAGAGCTTAGTCTAATTGGGTCCCCTTTGTAGGCAACTTTTCATTATTCCTGAGCTACTCTCAGGATTCTTATCTTGTCTTTGATTTGGGAAAGTTTGATTATACTGTGTCTTGGGGATTTTCTTTTGGAATCTATCCAGTTTGGGGTTTGTTCAGCTTCTTGTATGCTTGTCTTCTGGTCTTTCATGATGTTAGGGAGGTTTTCTTGCAACCACCCTTCAACAATTTTCTCTGTGCTCGTCTCTTCCTGTTCTGGAATTCTGACCACCTGTGGTTGGTCCTCTCATGGAGTCCCCCATAACTCAGCCTTTCTTCAGATTTTCACTTTTCTTTTTTCTGATTGTTTTTCTAGCATACTAGTATTAAGAGATTTCTCTTCCAGTTCACTAATGGAGGCTTCCATTGCTTCGCATCTACTCCTTTGTCCTTTCAGTGTATTGTCCATTTCTGAGATCTTACTAGTCATTTGGATTTCTAATTGCAAGTTCTGTATCATTTCAAAATTTGCATGTATTTTGTCTGTTTGTTCTTGTAGTGTTATCTTGAATTCTTCTAAAGTTTCTATTGTGTTCTCCTTGCTTTCCTCGATCTTTCTGTTGATCCTTTGAAGGTGCCTAATTGTCATTCTTTTGAATTCTCTTTCAGTTACTTCTATTACCTTTTCTTCCTTAGGAACGTCTCCTATTGGTCATCTGTTTGAGCCATTCTCTCTAGTTTCTTGTTGTCATTAGGTGCCATCAAGTCGGTACTGACTCATAGCGACCTTATGCACAGCAGAACACTGCCCGATCCTGGGCCAAACTCACTAGTGTTGCCACCCTTGAGTCCATCGATGCTGCCATTTTGCCAATCCATCTCGCTGGGGGTCTTCCTCATTTTCTCTGAGCCTCCACCTTACCAAACATGATATCCTTCTCCAGTGACTGGTCCCTCCTGACAATATGTCTGAAGTATGAGAGATGATGTTTAGCCATTTTAGCCTTCAAGGAGCACTCTGGCTGCACTTCTTTCAAAATGGATCTATTGGTACTTTTGGCAGCCCATGATACTTTCAATATTCTCCTCCAACATCA